TCTTCCCTCTAAGCATTCAAATACAGCTCTCCACAATGAAATTCAAAGCTCAGCCTCTAAATAGGATTTTTCCTACATAGGTTGAGTCAAAGCCATCCTTTGATTCAGAATCTCTACCCTGCAATGTTTCTCTGACTCCCCACTTGGATAGTATCTTCCCTGGCCTACCTCTAATGATTCAGAAGAAACTTGGAATGAAAATTTGGAAAAAAGGACAGCGGAAATACAATTTTACCTACTTTACAATTCTACTTAGGGTCAGTATGTTGTAGTTGTTGTTAAGTGCCATCAAGTCAGTTCCTATTCATAGCGACAAAGTATAAGGTTTTCCAGGAGTAGCTACTAGGTCTGAACCACCAATCCTGCAGTTAGTTGTTGTTGTTGTTATGTGCCGTGGAGTCGGTCCCAACTCATAGGACCCTATACAGGGTTTCCCAGGTTGTAAATCTTTACAGGAGCGGAAAGCCTCATCTTTCTCCTGTGGAACAACTGGTAGTTTCGAACTATTGACCTTGTGGCTCACAGCCCAATTTGTAACCACTACGCTACCAAAGCTCCTTCAGTAGCCTAGTGCTTATCCTAAATTGCCTCACTAGCCTCATAAGCAAATTATACCAAATGTTAAAATAAATATCAGTGTAGCACAAGCTGACCATTAAGGCTTAAATCAAATACAGTGTTTTCTGTTATAAGTTAGTTTAAATACTGATATCAAAATATAGAGGAGCTTTGGTAGTACAATGGCTAAGCACTCAGTTGCTAATGGGAAGGTAGGCAGTTAGAAACTCTCAATGTTTTTGCAGGAGAAAGGACCTGTCAATCTGCTCTAAGGATTATAGCCTTGATAACTCTATATGTCAATTCTACTTTATCATATGAAGTCACTATTAAATTAGTACCAACTCATCAAATTGATGACACACAAGAACAACAGTGAAAGTAAATTTTTGCTTTTTATTAGCAAAAATATTCTATTACTGTTATCATGAATCAATAACAATTTTTGACACATATAGGGAGAACCTTAGGATTTCATCTTTTGAGTGAAATCAACATTGCTTTAACTTTATTAAGTCTAACTGTCATACTTGTAAAAATACAAGAATTACATAGAAATTTTTATGAAAACAAAAATAAAAAGGTGATCAGCAATAATAGAGTGTTCTCTATAATTTTTGGAATGCACTGCCGAGAATAACGGCCTCTTATGACGTCTCTTTGGAGTCCTGGTATGGCACAGTGTATTAATGGGCTCAATTGCAAAGTCAGTTTGAACCACAAGGTAGGTGGTTCAAGCTCACCAGACACTCCTCCGAAACCGACTCAATTGCACTTAACAACAACAACCACAATGACATCTCTTTAAATAGATCATTACCTTATATATCAAATATCAGAATTTGAATATGATAGATCCATACTTACTACTCATTTCTATTTAAAAGTTACATTCTTTTTACTGAACTAAGGACAATATGAAAATTCAAAGAGATAGAAAATAAAACATTTTAGAGAGAAATATGTAGATAACATTGCCATGTCCTATGTGCAATGCTAGGTAGTGGTGCTTTGTAGTTTCATTAAGAGAACAACAGTTGCTAGAGTCAAATTACTACCTAGAGGTGAATCCATTTTGAGAGGCAGCCATCTATCAATTGAGTGTAAAGGTTTTGAAAGGCTGCTCTCTGGCTTGGCCTTATTTCAAAATATTTGAAGAGCAAAGCACCTTCTGGTTTAACAGTTCTTCTACAAGAAGATGAATATCAATCACAATGAGAAATGATAATAGGACATATACTATTCTTGTCAAGCTCAAAGACCAATAGATATTTTCAAATTAAGTGCATAGAGTAAAATCTGGCATGTTCTGCTGTTAAAAAAAGTAGGAGGAGGAAAAAAAGAAGTGGGAGGCAGACAGGGAGGAGGATGGAGGGGAGGAAATGCCTGTCTGACAATTTTAACTAAAAGCACAAACTGAGTTATGAAAACTATGTCACTTATAAGAATTGAGTGAATGAAGAAGCATGGATGTCAATAAGGCAACTTTTTAAATATGGAAATATTAGAACTTTGTCCTAAAGCGAATGTTATTGTTTTGTGCCTAAAAGTCAATTTAGACTCACAGTTACCATTTTATTAACAGAATACACCTGCCCCATCAGATTTCCCAGGTTGTAAATCTATATGGAAACAGCAGCTTGTTACATTGTTCTTCTGTGGTGCAACTGGTGGGTTCAACTGCTTACCTTCTAGTTAGTAGTTAAGTGAATAGCCACTGTCCAACTTTTTCTTAGGAGACTCGCATAGTTAATCTATTGTTATTACTGAAGTCAAGCAAAGGGATAAGCACAAAACAATCATTGAATGAAATCAATTCTATCTTATGTTTTATAAGGATTATACACATACGTCATAGTGATAAAATGTAGCATGTGACTGATTAAACAGATGTATCGATAGAAAGGACCTAAAGGGACAAGGCAAAGAGCTGCACTGTAAAAACAGGGTGTTCTTGTTGTTGTTAAATGCAGTTGAGTCAGTTCCAACTCACAGCGACCCTGTATAGGGCTGCTGAAGAGTAACTAGTGAGTTTGAACTGCTGATCTTGCAGATCAAACCGATCTTGCAGTCCAGTGCTTATCCTACAGCGCCACACCAGGGTAAAACAGGATAGGATATCTTTAATGTTCAGGAAGCTGGCACTACATCTATTGCAAATAGAACCCTTTGCCTGGTAGAATAACTACTTGGTTTGGTGATGCACTAGTCAGATGATTAAGACACAAGGAAGCAAGCAGACAGTAGCCAAAGAAAAATGAAAGCAGTACAATAGTGATAGTTCAGGAAGCATGCAAGTTATTCTTAAATGGACATGCTACACCACTTTTATTAGTCATGGAAATGCATTCAAACCAATAGCCAATAAACATTATCCTCATAAGAAATAGACTTGAGTTGTTGTTGTTGTTGTTAAGTGCCGTTGAGTCAGTTCTGACCCATAACGACCCTGTAGAGGGTTTCCAAGGAGTGACTGGTGAGCTTGAACCACCAACATTGCAGTTCAAACCGACTTTGCAGTCTAGCGCATTAACCCGCAGCGCCACAACAGACTTGAGTAGTCATATTATAACCAGGTGGTTATATCTAAATTCTGTCAAATAGCACACCAGACAATACAATAGATGCTATACCTTGCCTTTTGTGCTGTTTAGACATTACTGAAGCTAACAAGCGACCACAGTTTAGAAACCTAATAAACAATGAAACTTACTTTTAAATCAATTATTAAAATATATATGCTTCCATGTCTAAGTTAAAACTATAAAAAGAATAATGAATAAAATGTCTCAAAAATGTCTAAAGTGTTTTCTAGGATCTTGTTATATTAAATTGTTCCTATACAGATTATTCTAGGTAAGTGTGAGAAAAATAATGAGGTAGTTTCTTTTTATTAATGTTATTAGGGGAAACATTAAAATAAATCTCAATTACAATTGAACACAGTTTCAGTGTTGAGTTCATTCTTTTAATCATTGACTTTATACTTTTACACATTCTCTCTCTCTCATTAAGTCTTATAATATTTTGTATGCCACTTTTGAGTTATAGTGAATTATTTAATTTCTCTTCAAGTCATAGTCTATTATAACACCCACCAAATAATGTTTCTGCCCTACTGGATTTGGATAAGGGCAGGTGGGCGAAGATATTTATAGGATGTTAGCAGAGTTGATAGTAAATGTAAAACTTGAAATTCTAGCATGGATATTATCAGAAACAGTAGTTGGGGCAGGGGTGGGGGTGGGGGTTTGTGTGAATTTCACAACCATTACAGAAGGGCCAGAAGGGAAATGCATCCTTTGGATCCTGATATCCCTGTGTGTTGAAGTTCCTCTACTCAAGGACAGAAAACTGCAGCACTGGCTATGTAGCTGAGGAAAAGCAGCTTCAGTAGTACCAAGATCCAGCAAGTAAACCTACGTGACTTTGGACAGGAAGCTTGCTTGTAGAGTGGGAAGCTTCTAGGCACTTAAGGTAGAGAGCTAGATTTGCTGAGGTTTATGGTAGGGTGGTGTGTCTTATGGGCCTTTATAAGCAACACTGACTGGGACAAGTGTGTCCTGAGCATTTCTAAGCAGGAATTGTAGCCTGTTAACACCCCTAATGAGCCCCATAACTGTGAGTGTGATGTCTCAATGCTCTGTGACCAATGCAATGGATTATGAAACACCGTTGATTAGAGAGACCTGTGGGAGGAATGGTTGTCACCGCATATTTTTTGCACACTCTTTCTGACATCCAGAAACTCTGCTTTGGATTATAACGAGAAAAGGATTTTGTAACTAGGAAGATCACCTAGAATCGTCTTCTTTTTTGGTTCTTTTTGCTTTCCTTCTTCTAATATTCCAACTGGTCATGCTGATATAGATGCCCTGCTTAATAATTATTTAAATTCTGGAGAGATTATTGCTTATATGTATTCGATGTTGGGGACATTACCTATTATAGTCTGTATCCTGAAATACTAAAAGGTATATTTCAACTCCCTTTTTTTTCTTTATAATTTTAGTAATGTAGGGAGAAAGACAGGGCCTTCTACTCCCATCAAGATTTACAGCCTCGGAAACACTGTGCAGGGTCACTATGAGTCAGAACCAACTCCACAGTACTTAACAACAACAACAAAATCAACAGCTTAATAGCATGCAGTCTGAGAGTATGTGTATCTGAGTGCATGTTGTATGTGCTCTTGAATGTGTATTTCATACATAAATTTTATCAGATGCATTGTTGTTAAGCTTCACTGGAGATATAAACCAAATAAATCACCATATAGTTATATATGAAATGGACAAAAAATGCATTATATCATATTGTGTACCATTTTTTTTCGGAGTATTTTAAAAATAAGCCCAAAGTATCCCTTAATTTTTCCATTCCATTCTTTTCGTTACATTCCAAATGATAAGCAGTTTGCTTAGCTGGAAATAGTCTCTTACCAGCATAATTACTGAGTCCCTTTCTTTTCTTTCTTCGCCAATACAACCAGATGCTAAAACCCATCAAAATTACCCAGCAGGCACCACCAATACCAGCTATAAACGCTGGTTGCTTCACAACATCAGTGATTTGTTCGGTTATGCTGTTATTGTTTTCAGTAATGACAACCTCATTACGCCCTCCTAGGGAAAAAAAAAAAAAAGAATTTTAGCAAGTAATGAAACAAATATAAATGCAGAAACACAAAAATGGTATACCAAATAGCATAGAAAATTCCCTTGGAACTGGTAATACTTCTTTTGTCTTGAAACTGTCATATTTATTGATTAGCACACTTTACAAGTTTCAAAAGAAGAAACAAATCATTGGTGTGAATATGTGATAACCTTGTCCTCTTATATTTTGGTTTGCTATGGACAAATTCAGAACCTCTTCTGGATTTATTGCCTTTCAGTAAATACTAAAACAAGAACTAGGAGTTTAAATAATGAAAACAATAGGAAGTTTTCTTCTATTAAAATTTTAAAAAATTCTTGCTGAGGAGGGGTAGGTGGAAAAAAGTAAAATATTTAGCACAAGGCATTTGCAAACTGCCTTTCTTCTACAACACTGTTCATATGCAAATGTCCATGAGTCATAGTAATAAGTAATAATATTTCTTCTGGCTTGTGCTACCAAACTAAACCATTTTGTTCAAACACCCTTTAGTTTCTTGGGAGGTACTAAATGTACAGTATAAAACAATCCTGTTAACACTGTTCATAGAGATCAACGTGTAGAATTAAGATGGTCATTAGAAGATAAAGCTCATATTTTGTTAAAATATTTGAAACTAATTAGAAATTCCACTTGCAAGTTGAATGAAAAATTCAAAGTTACTTCTAAAGTCATCATAGCTTAAAAATACATTTAAATTTGAACCTAAGATTATTTAGGAAAAGATCATGTTTTGATGATTTAGACCTCTTTGAGATAAATTAAGAAACTCTCAATTTGTAATTTGAAATGGTTTTTTTAACTAATAGAATCCATATCACTAAAAAGCAATGGTTTGGGTGTTTATTTAACAGATTAAGAAATTCAGACATTGAGAATTAAATGATTTCTAATGTCAATATCATGTTTAGCAAGTAGCAAAGACTTTGCAACTGTAAATTCTGAGCAGAAGAATAATGACAAATTTTAGCTTAGTACCTCAAAAGATGCATGGGGTATTCATTGTTTTGGTTACCATAACACTGTAATATATTAGAAAGAGCATGGTCTTTGAAGTTTTAGGGTTGAATTCTGTCTGCCACATACTAGCTAAATCTACTTGTAATAGGAACTTACTCTTTTTGAAACCCTGTTTCTGTTAGTTGGTATTTGAGAGCATTCATTGAGATAATGTATGTGAAGAGCCTTGTAGGAACACAGTAATCTTTTATTTAAAATGATGACCTATTTACGGTTAATGGTTATGAACTTAACTCCAGGTACACATGTGGTAAACATGTATGTGGTAAATGACAGTGGTGAAATGGGAACAGTTGCATTGGAGACTAGCAGACTTATTCATCAATTTACAGTGACTGGTCCCTCTTGACAATATGTCCAAAGTATGAGAGATGAAGTTTGACCATCTTGGCCTCCAAGGAGCACTCTAGTTGTACTTCTTTCAACACAGATCTGTTGGTTCTTTTGGCAGCCCATGGTACTTTCAATATTCTCCTCCAACACCATAACTCACAAATATCAATTCTTTTACTGTCTTCCTTATTCACTGTTCAGCTTTTGCATGCATATGAGGTTATTGAAAATACCATGGATTGGGTCAGGCGCACCTTAGTCCTCAAGCTGACATCTTTGCTCTTCAACACTTTAAAAAGGTCTTATGCAGCAAATTTGCCTAATGCAATACATCATTTAATTTCTTGACTGCTACTTCATTGAGTGTTGAGAGTTGATCCAAGAAGAATGAAGTCCTTGACAACTTTAATATTTTCTGCATTGATAAGAATGTTGTTTATTGGTCCAATGGTGAGGATTTTTGTTTTCTTTACATTGAGATGCAATGCATAGCGAAGGCTGTGCTCTTTGATCTTCATCAGTAAATATTTAAGTCCTCTCAGCTGGTAAGCTTGAACCACCAACCTTACAGTTCAGATGACTTTGCAGTCTAGAGCATTAATCCACAGTACCACATCATATCTGGTACTTTTCCTCACTACTAGTAGTTATTGGAGTCCTGGTATGGTGCTACAGGATAACGCCCTGAACCAAAAGGTCAGTTTGAACCACAAGGTCAGTGGTTTAAACCCACCAGCTGTTCATCAGAGACACTCTGACATTATGTCCACCATTCATAGGGGCACTATCAATAGGAACTGACTTGATGGCACCTAATAAAAACAGCAGTAGTTATTACAAAGGAAACAAATGATGTATAGAACAAAAATAAAAGACATGGATTTGTGTAACAGTGAAAAAATCCTATTTAATATGTTGCAATACATGTTTACCCAAAGTGTATTACTATTTCTTATATTCCTTATATTTTTGAAAGAATGCTGTCAGTTGGACTAATTAGAGCATAGACACAGGATGTGTGTGCCCTGTAATGCTCCATTGTTCTTGCAGACAAAAAATATAATGAAATATAATGTCTGCCTCCCATTGGAATGTAATGAAGAACAAAACTAATTTGTTGGACTAAAAATTAATTAGATACATCAGATTCGATTGTACCTATTACTGTGAAAGTTTGCAGCTGTTCCACATATTATTATACCAACTATGTAATGTATGCATGAAAAGGCCAACGATTAGAAAAACAATAGCCATACTATTAAGCATTATTATTGCAAATTTTAAAATCAATATGAATTTGTTATATGACACACTATTTGATGCTTAAGTATGTGAATGATGTTAGTTGTATTTATGTGTCTATAATTGGAGTCCTGGTGTGGTGCTGTGGTTTAATATGCCTGACTGCAAAGCCATTTGAACTGCAAGGTCAGTTGTTCAAGCTCACCAGCTGCTCCTTGGAAACCCTATACAGGATCGCTATGGGTCGGAACTGACTGAATGGCACTTCACAGCAACAGCAAATGCAAGAACTATGGTGTTGTGTGTTAATGCACTGGACTACAACGTCAGTTTGAGCCGCCAGGTCAGTGGTTCAAGCTCACCAGACGCTCCTCAGAAACCCTATACAGGGTCACTATGGGTCGGAACCGATTTGACGGCACTTAGCAACAACAAAAAATCGCAAGAACAATATAGAGGGGCAGGCTTGCAGGGTATACACTTTGGTTGGTTAATAATGTATGGAGGGGATTGTAACCATGGCAATAAAAGGATATACAATAGGATGAATGTAAAGGTAATGTTCTCCCTTGTAAACTATCACATAATTCACAAAAAAAACATTAAAAACACACAAAGAAAGAACAATATAGAATTATGAACAATTTGAGGTAAAAATCACCTTGTGAGTAGAAACTGCAGCAAAAGAACACTATTGCTTTTAAATCTGTGTAAGGTTCAGTAATATTTTAATTAAATGTCCTCTTAATGGACATTTCAGAAATTAGAAAAAAAAAAACTGCAGTAAAACAATACAATTTGACATAGGACATATCTAAAATGATCAGCCATAAAAGACATCAAATGCCAATACACGATTTAATTAAAACAAACGGGAAACAAACGAGATAGAGCTGAGTCATTTCAAGTTCTATTTCCAGTCCAAATCAGACAACAGGGAAAGCATAAATTGAAACAGAATGATTAACCATCACTAAATCACTTTTCAAAGAAAGAATAACAGCTATGTAGATAAGGTTATCAGGTAAGACATTGAGGTAGATATGCAGGAATAATTAAAAACCAATTATAATGGGGCTCTTTAGTACAACAGTAGATATACAAAAGAAATAAATCTCTTGGGATAAAAGCTTTCCATAGATTAAATTGCGTTTACACATATGTATGTGTTTCTTGTATGTATTACAATTCTATTTTCTATGATCACATCTTGAGGATAACATATGCTGACTAATTGAATATGACATAATATCAATTATTAAACTGATTTTTATTTCTTAGATGATTTTGAAAAAACAATTGTTTGATATAGTAAACAATAAATTAAATGCATTTATTACACATTTGAAGACTTTTTGTCTTTAAAAAATAGAAGAGTTAAGCAATATATATATTTTATTTCAAATTATGTAATTAGCATTTTCTAATATTTTTACTATGAAACAATTGTTCATTCTTTCATTGTTATAGTCATAGTATAAGTTTAATAATTGGAATGCTTATAATTTTTTGTTTGCCTGCAATTATTGTTGTTGTTGTTGTTGCTAAGTGCCATTGAGTCAATGCCAATCATAGCAACCCTGTACAGTGTCTCCAAGAAGCAACTGGTGGGCTTGAACCACTGAACTTGTGGTACACAAGACAGTACTTATCTTAAGGTGCCACACCAGCCTCCAAATATAATATATAATAAATGATCATCAGTAGGCAAAAACAAACAAACTACTTCTTTGACTTGAGAAATGCAATTGTTACTAAATATGCTAGTCAAAGAAAATAAAAATTAAAATATGGATAGCCGGCAATCTTACTTACCTCTGAGTTAGAATAATTATATTCAGCTAATCTATTTCACATGCATGCTAGAGATATGGTAAAAACAAAAACAAAACAAAACACAAACTCTTAAAGCTTAGTTTACCTCTCTGGGGGCTCTTCAATGCCTATTAAAATGTTTTAACTAGAATTTTTTAAGGGAAAAATCAGTGACTTATTTTCTAAGTACTACAAATTCAATATTGTTGTTGTTCAGTGTCGTGGAGTCGGTTCCGACTCATAGCGACCCTGTTCAGGGTTTCCAATGCTGTAAATCTTTATGGGAGCAGAAAGGCTCATCTTTCTCCTGCGGAACAGCTGGTAGTTTCGAACTGCTGACCTTGCGGTCCACAGCCTGATTCATAACCACTACGCTACCAGAGCTCCTTACAAATTGTGTATGTATGTGTGTGTATATATATATATATAATTCATGTAATTCTTTAGGGTATACTTTTATTTTTTTTTCTCCAATTTATTTTAGAAAATCTCTAAAGAGAAAGATTGTAGGTTTCCCTCAGGTTAAGAAATTAATTCAATCTGTAAATGACTAATT